ATAAACATTTTTTCGTTGTAGTTATTATTTTGTGTAATTTAATAAGTGATTCAAAAACAAATGCTGATAATAATAATAGTAATGCTAATAATTCAGTTGTTTTATGGCAAAAATTATCAGAATATGTGATGAATTGGAGTAAAGAATTTCGATTAAGAAACAAACCATTTGTTGAAGAATTGTTGAATTCAAGTCATGTTTCAGAAAGTTGTTCAAAGAGTATATTCTCGACATTGGATGGCATCGAAAGACTGGACGACTGGTCCATACAAATGATCAATTCGTGGGCAGATTTTCCACCAAAAGGTAAATTTATTTTCAAGTTTTAAAGCTTTTTAATTTTTTAATTAAAGTTAAATGTTTTGATTGATGTTATGCTACACAATAATAATATTGATACTAATTTGTAAGTCTAATAAGTATTAAGTAATATATTCTTTATATACATAGTTTTTACAATTCTATGTTTACAAACAATTATATGAATACAATTTTAAAATATGTTTTTCTATTATAAGGATTATTTGAAGGAAGTCTTACGGACTTTGGATCCTATGATCAGTGTTTGTCAATCATTGACAACCATATGATAGGTTCGGCTCAGTATTGTTCCCTGGATTTGGTTCCCTATATTCCCCGACCAATGCCTAAACAACACAATCTGTTTCACAAAATCCCAAATCTATTACCCATTGATATAATACAAAACAAATCCAATGCATTGAATATANATTTGTTTCACAAAATCCCAAATCTATTACCCATTGATATAATACAAAACAAATCCAATGCATTGAATATAATGGCAACTGAGGCCTCATTTTTCTATTGGATGTCATTTCGGACCGGCGTTTGTGTCCCAAATAAATGCTCACTAAATGATGTGAAATCAATCGGACAATTAGGTAATTATACTGTTCAACATTAATACAAGTGCACAAGCATTAAAGTATAAGTATAAATTGCATATTAAAATTTTATCACTTTTATTTATTGTTAAAAGTTTTTGTTAAATAACTTTCAGTCAATTTATAATTTACGAACAAAGGATTTCGTAATATTTGTAAAATTAATAACATTTTGTACATATAATTGGCGTATAGTTTCCGATAAGTTTGGACTCGAGTTAAAGGCAGTGAAATGTGAAATCAAAGCAAACACATTAATCAATTCAAAACAATTGTTTGCAATGTATGTCAAGTTATTCCCAATGATTTAATATTCACAATAATTTTTAATAATTGTTTGTTTGTATTGTTTTTTATTTATAGCGCCTTTATTGCCGTTTTTCTATTAATGTGTGTTTTGGCGACTTTTTGTGACTCGAAATTTGATTTTGAAAGTATTGAATATAAAAATATTTTTAAAACAAAAATAAAGTATAGATTTGTTATTATTTTTATAGAGAATTCAAAGGGTTTTGTATTTGTCAGAGCATTCTCTGTGAGGAAAACATATAACAGACTCATAGCGCCCACAACTTCAAGGGATTTATCATGTATTCACGGCATCAGAGTATTAACCATTGTTTGGATATTGTTTGGACACAGTATTCAATGGAGTAATTTTCAATTGTTTGGTCAGTCTATTAACACTAAATACTTGTGCTTAAAACTAATAACTAAAACATTTAATACAAATCCAAATTACATTGTAAATGAATAGCCCGGAGCTTTCTTGGGAAGGAGTTGTTGACAAACCCGACGGCACAGCCGCTACTGAATGGAGAGTACGGTGTCGTCACTTTCCTACTTATCAGGTATATTACTTAATAGTGTCATTAAATTTTAACTTCATTTCATATTATCGTTAGTATTAGTATTATTAACCCTTTAATGATATAATTAATTATTGATTTTTTTCATTTAATGACATTTCATGAATATTAATTTTGAGATTATTTTTTCAGCGGAATTCTCACTAATTATATCGCACTGTCGGTAACCAAAGGCGATGTCAAGAGATTCAATGTTGTGCTATATATTGTGTTACGTTTGGCCCGACTTTTGCCACAATTAATGATATTTATATTATTGACATTTTTGTTACCACTGTTGGGTTCGGGCCCTCTTTGGGCTGAAGTGGTCGGCAGTAATGTTGACAAAT